CAGCATAAGAGGGAGAAGGGACCCCTGGTGTGGGAGTCAAGAGTCGCGTCAGAAAACATAGGAGGCGACGGCTGTGAACGAGTGACACGAGCCGGAGACGAGTCTATGGGAGGAAACATGGGACTGTAGACTTGAAGAGATGGTGAGTGAGGAGAAAGTGGTTTGTTAGTCACAAGCGGTGACGACGGCTGCTGTGGCGGCTGCTGATACTGCTTCTTTGGCAAGGGCTGCAGCTCCTGCGGTGCCGGACGTTTGGCATAGCCTAAACCAGCACCCTCAAAGCCAGCACCCCCAGAACCAGCACTCCCTGCAGCACCCCCATAACGAGCAACCCCAAAGCCGCACCCACAGCGAAATCACCCCTGGGATCCACACACCCCTGAGGCAGCACCCTCAGAGTCCACAGCAATTAGCTACGGCGGCATTAACGACTGCTGAAGCGACAAAGGCCTTCTTTGGCGATTATGAGGACAACGCCAGCGAAGGCAGAGATTGTTCGCATGAAGGTCGCGGACGTGAGTAAGGCAGCCCCAGACGCAAAACGTAGGCATATCACCAGAGCACCTAGTCTAGAGGAGGGTTGGCGAAACCTACAGACGTGAGACACAGAGTCATTGGTTAAGCTAGTGCACAGCGTAGCAGACTGCAAAAAACAACAGAAAAGGGGGGGCATTGGCATGAGTTATGGAGGTACGAGCGATCCCCATGACCAAGCCATTTATGGCCCTCATCTACCTCATTCTGCTATCTTGATTTTGGAAGCGTGTATGTCTTTGTGATAGTCTCCGTAGGACAGACCCGGCCAAGGTGTCCGGGGACGAACTTGCCACCACGGTATGAGTGCAGACAAAGCACGAGTTTGTCGTGCTAGGTAGGGATGGCTACTAACCACGAGAGGAGAACGTCAGGCACGCCAGCCTTCCACTCCAAGGAAACGACCGTGGCATAGCGGGAGTCGTCGTCCACAAGGACCAGGAATTAGCGTTCTTGGCGTGGCGCGGGGTCCAAGCAGGGCCCTAGACGTCCACGTGCAAGGCCTGAAGAGGCACAGTGGTAGGACGGAGCAAGGAGTAAGGGGCAGCGCGCTGCCTGCCCTCGACAAAAGGGGTGCACGGTGGCATAGACGAGGGAGGGAGAGTGGGGAGACCTGAGACAAGACTGTGCTTAGACATGTGACGGAGACGGGAGAGTGGGGTGACCTAGACGGTGGTGCCACAAGAGCAACGGGTGAATGAGTGACCGGCACGAGCACGATGCAACAACCAGACTAGACGCAAGCACCTGGGTGGATGTAGTATGCAACGTGAAAAGTCTTGACTCGGGGTTCGGGGGAACGTGGCAAGAGGTGCCCCAGTGGTAGCGTTCGTAGAGGTCGCAAACCACCCGTGTTCAGTAAACTTGGTGGTGATACCGAGGTCCTGAAGACGACCGACACCCACCAAGTTCCTGGAGGATGAGGGGATGTGCAGACATGTGAGGGAGTCAGATAGGACTGCTGGACACTGGAGATTATTAGCGATGAGTGGTGAGAGGGTGGTGCGGCCGCAAAAGAAGCACTGCGACAAGTCGGAGTCTAGCGTGAAGGAGAGGGATGCGTCAGTAGTGGACCCACCTGGGCAAGCAACAGTAGATGATCCTATACAGGAGACAGCTAGAGATCCTAGTCTAGGCACACGAATAATATGATTCAACGTCAATATAGTCATCAACATACATGGCATAGGCGGCAGCTCCCGTCTCAGACATATCAAGATGAAAAATCATGACACCGCTGTGCAACAGTCTATGCTAGTTCTGGGTGCACGTTGTAGGCTGTGGGCGAGGAAGAGGTCATCGAGGCGACAAAAGCAGCGTGTATTGGAGTGACTGGGGCACTCGCAAACGGTGCCTCGATGAGGATTTGACAGAAGCTGGTACTGGCAGGGCCCAGCGGGAGTACCATGCAATGCCTAGCTGTCATCACCGCCACCGCGGTCAACACTCCCTGAGCCAGGAGGTCCCCATTGCCGTTGAGAGACGCCATGCTAGATTCGATGCTCCTGCAACTACTGTTGTGGTGGCTGCTGCTGCCGCTGCTGCTACTGAGTCAACCCTGCACCCCAAGACCAGCACTCCCCTCATCAGCACCCCCCGAGAAACCAGCAAATCCACCTCTTCCACGACTACGGCCAATCCTGCACCGTCTGCGCCCACAGGGGGCAGCAACGGCTGCGACCTCCACTATACTAGTTATCTCTGAAACAACAGTAGAGGCAGCAAAAGGTAGGGATCTGGGGCAGAGCGCAACCTTCGAGGATGGGGGGGCGACTACACTAGTTGTGGAGGTGGGTCTCGATCTTAGTGAGACTAGTCTTAAGGAAATCGTCAGTGAGATCATAGGGGTGCATGGCAAGGAGGGCGTCGTTGCGAGGAGATGCAGGGTGGCATACATGGGGGGAGCCTCTCTATCAAGCTGGGTAGGGGTGAGGGCAGCACGGCTACTAGCATCAAGAGGGCGCAGGTGGGTAGCGAGGTCAGCAACAACGGAGAACGCAGGAGATCATGAATGATGAAAGGCATGAGGTGACGCCCTAGAGTACCAAAGGAGGGGGTGGATTAGTGACCAATAGCATCAAAGCACTCATTCGCCGCCTCGACCTAATGAACGTGCACCCGCTCGGCCAGCGGCAGGAGGCGATTAATAGCAAGACGCGCAGAACCGTCCCTCAACTCCCAAAGCGTGTTCGCAAGCTGAGCATCGCAGTGCTCCTTTTGCTCCTCTAAATAGTAGGACGCGAGGGGGCAGGTAGGTCACCCAACATGTGGGCGTACAGGGGGACGTCACCCTGGAGGTGGCTCTGCACTTGGAGCTTGATGTCGAGAAGCCACACGTCAAAGTCGACCGCATGCCCCTCCGCATCGAGTCGCAGGACGAACTCGGTCGTCATGACAGGAGCAGGCGCACAGCCGCAGTAGATGTGACGTGATAGCCACTGGCGGAGCAGAAGGTGGGGCTACACCCTAACTCACGACTGCAAGAGTGGCGATATGCGGCAGCCTAAGGCACAGTACGGGCCCGCGGTAGGTGCTGCTAGAGGCGTGGCAGGCGCAGGCGCGTGCGCAGCAGGCGCAAGCAACAGCGGCAGGCCCGGCAAACAAGAGCTGGGCAGGCGGTAGGTGTGGGCGCAGTCGCGGGCGCTAGGCGCAGCAGCAGCATGCGCGGGCGCGACAGGCGCTGGCGGCAGCAAGTCGGCAGGTGCGGGTGGGGTGACGGGGCGCTAGCGTGGGGCGCGACGGGGCCGTGAGAAGGGCGAGACGGGGCGGATAGGCGGGGCGTTAGGAGGGGTGCGATGGGTGCCACTAGAGGGGCGCAACTAGGGTAAGCTAGGGGAGGCGGGCGGAAAAGAGGGTCCTAAAGGCTAAACCTAGCGTGATACCATGTGAAAAAGTGAACGAATGACTAATATGAGATCATACAGTTAGGAATTGTAGCAGCCCATACACTCTATAGCACAACCCAACTAGCCTACATGAACATCTAAGTGTACTTTGACAGTACATTGCTTAGGATGACGAAAAGGAGCACTTACCGGTACGCATGTCATCAGGGTCTTTATTTGTGGTGATGCTGATTTTTCATCGTTTCGTACTAACGACGGCACTGATGGATCAGCCATGCCCAAAACAAATCCGAGGGCCTGCTTCCACTATACCATTACATACAACTCCAGTCATTGCTATACCCAAGAAAGTTACAGCACAAGTGCACAACTTATCAACTGGCTATCAGTTTGTAGCACCACCTGACTGGGAAAAAAACGAGTTGACGAGATGGTGAAGGTTGTGCACGTAGAGAGAGATGCATTGGAGGGAACGTTGAGACGAGACGAGAGCATAGAGGCTGGCAGAAGAGTCAAAAGAGTCACCATAACAGTGGCAAGGTGGATGAATTCACTAAGGAGATCAAATGGAGCGAATCGAGTCTTCTCCAGCCCCGCTTCACTGCAGTGCACAGCAATCAGATGCACGGCACACAGCCGGGGGTTGGTGACGGTGATGCGGATGGTGATGGTGATGATGATGGTGATGGTGATGGTGATGGCGATGGTGATGGTGATGGTGATGGTGATGGTGATGGTGATGATGATGGTGATGGTGATGATGATGGTGATGGTGATGATGATGGTGATGGTGATGATGATGGTGATGGTGATGGTGATGGTGATGGTGATGGTGATTGTGATGGTGATGGTGATGGTGATGGTGATGGTGATGGTGATGGTGATGGTGATGGTGACGGTGATGGTGATGGTGATGGGGATGATGATGGTGATGGTGATGATGATGGTGATGGTGATGGTGATGGTGATGGTGATGGTGATGGTGATGGTGATGGTGATGGTGATGATGATGGTGATGGTGATGGTGATGGTGATGATGATGGTGATGGTGATGGTGATGGTGATGGTGATGGTGATGGTGATGGTGATGGTGATGGTGACGATGATGGTGATGGGGATGATGATGGGGATGGTGATGGTGATGGTGATGGTGATGGTGATGATGATCGTGGTGGTGGTGAGGGGCTTGAGGGCAGCTCGTGTGGACAGGGAAAGGACGACATTGGTGTTTGACGGAACCATGCATTACACGGGCACACGGCAGCAGCAGGAGAAAACTGGAGTTTTCAGAGGCATATGGTTCTATGTGAGAACTAGAGGCATATGGTTCTATGTGAGAACTAGCAAAGCCATCACTCACATTGGAAACACCCTCTATTTCTCAGAACCCTTCCATGCTCAGACAGACCCCATTCTCACTCACAGTCCACACTCACTCAGATCCCACACTCGCTCACAGCCCACACTCACTCAGATCCCACACTCGCTCACAGCCCACACTCACTCAGAGCCCACACTCACTCAGAGCCCACACTCACTAGAGCCCACACTCACTCAGAGCCCACAGTCACTAGAGCCCACACTCACTCGGCGCACGGCACAGCAAGCAGCAGGGTGGCGTCAGGAGCCCTTCTTCTTGCCCTGCCTGGCGCGGCGCTTCTCCTTGGACGAGAGGCTGGAGCGCAGCACCACGCCCTCCTGCTCCTCCAACAGCCGCGCCTGCTGCTTCAACTCCTGCTGCACCGCCGACTTCTGATTTGCCACGATTGGGACAGCAGGGGTTGGGGCACAGGGGTTGGGGCACAGGGGTTGGGGCACAGGGGTTGGAGCAGAGGGGCTGGGGCAGAGGGGTCAGTGCAGAGGTGAGCACAAGTAGGCGCACAGGCCGCTGAGGGTACAACAGGCATTACCGCCCCCTCACGGCAGCACACCCCCCACCCCATGGCACCTGCCGCTCTCCCCCTACCCTCCACATCCCCCCCACCCACCGCATCCCCCCCACCTACTGCATCCCCCCCACCTACTGCATCACCCCCACCCACCGCATCCCCCTCAACTGTCAGAATGTTATGTTTCTCTAGTCTGCAGTGGGGTACTCTATAGTGAGTACAGCCTTGTTAAGGTTTGCTATATGTATCCCAATGTTTGCTAGTGAACTCCTTTTCTCTGTTTCATTCATTCCTTCACGATTCTGACATGGTATTCTGAGCAGGTTCCTTCGTGGGAACGTTTTTTTTTAGGGCCCACCACGATTTTTTTTTCCTGCCCTGCCCGAAGCGCGCCTCGCGCCTGCCTCACCTGCGCCGTCGCGCACCCTGCCCTAGTGCCGCCTGTCGCGGCCCTGCCTTCGCTGGCCCGTCGCGGCCCTGTCTTCGCCGCCAGTCGCTGGCCCGTCCCGGCCCGCCTCGCCGCCCGTCGCCGGCCCGTCGCAGCCCGTCGCTGGCCTGTCCCGGCCCGTCCCGGCCCGTCGCCGGCCCGTCGCGGCCTGTCGCCGCCCGTCGCTGGCCCGTCCCGCCTCGTCCCGGCCCGTCGCCGGCCCGTCCCGGCCCGTCGCCGCCCGTCGCTGGCCCGTCGCCGCTCGCCGCGGCCCTGCCTTCGCCACCCACTGTGGCCCTGCCCTGCAGCCGCCCTGTCGCGGCCCTGCCTTCGCCGCCCGTCGCTGGCCCGTCCCGGCCCGTCCCGGCCCGTCGCCGGCTTGTCCCGGCCCGTCCCGGCCCGTCGCCGCCCGTTGCCGGCCCGTAGCCGCCCGTCGCTGGCCCATTGCCGCTCGTTGCGGCCCTGCCTTCGCCGCCTGTCGCGGCCCTGACCTGCAGCTGCCCTGTCGCGGTCCTGCCCTGCTGCCGCCCCAGTCGCGGCCCTGACCTAACCGCCAGCTGCGGCCCTGCCTTGCACCCGTCTGTGACTGCCTCTAGCTTTGCTTATATTTGTGAACTATAAACTGCTGTTTGTTGTGCTGATCATACCCCACTTTGACGATGGGGGTGTGTCAGAATGTTATGTTTTTCTAGTCTGCAGTGGGGTACTCTATAGTGAGTACGGCCCTGTTAGGGTTTGCTATATGTATCCCAATGTTTGCTAGTGAACTCCTCTTCTCTGTTTCATTCAATCCTTCACGATTCTGACACCACCCGCCGCATCCCCCCCACCCACCGCATCCCCCCCACCCACCGCACCCACCAACCCACCGCTTCACATCCCACCACACCGCATATCATCACAGCTTCTCGCCACATTCATCCCTCCACACCACACCCCACCACACCCTGCCACACCGCATGCCAGCACAGAGCGCACCTCGCGCAGCTCGTTGAAGCTGACGGCAATGAAGGTGAGCGCGGTGGCGGCTGTGATGGCGATGGCTGGCACCACGTAGTCCGCCGCCTCCGCCATGCCCGATGCTTCTCTCCACTCCACTCCACTCCGCTCACAACCCGCCGCCTCTGCTGCCCTGCTGCCCGCCCACACGCTCTTGAGAATCCTCAAGAAGTGCTGCGCTGCTGCCCCGCCGCTGCCTCACTCACCGACCACGCCCCGCCCTCCCCGCACGTCCGCGCGCACCCGCTCGCGCCCACCTGCGTCTCTCCGCCCCTTGCCTTCCGTGCTCGCGAGAGGCTCGTGCGGCCTGATGCGGCGACGGACACGCTTGAGGGGATTGGGAGTGCTGCGCGTGGGGCATGCGGGGCATGCGGGGCATGCGGGCGTGCGGGGTATGCGGGGTATGCGGGGTATGCGGGCGGGGCATGTGGGGCACGTGGGTCATGTGGGGCATGCGCGCGTGCGGGGCATGTGGGGCATATGGGTGGAACGAGAGGGCACATGTCGAGAGAAGACTGGGAGAGGTGAATGTGTGAATGGCACGGCGTGTGGGGCAACATGCACCAAACGAGCACGCGAAGGGCGTAGGAGCGAGCACGCGTGACAAAAGAGGCGATGCGAACGAGCGGACAAAAGGCGAAGCCGAAGTGAAAGGGCCGAGAGAATTGATAAGCGTATGGGGGCGATGGGCTCGTGAGTGCAATAGTCGCATGGCAAATGGCGAGATTCTGTCGTACCTCGCGGATCGCTCAACGATAGTGCGTCGCACGACGACGAACGTGTAGTTGCATGACAGGTAAGTAGCAGCAGCAGTGGTGAAAGTGGAGAAGGGGAGTCGAGGGTGCTGGTGGGTTCTGTGGGTGGGGAGGGGAAATGGATAAGGTTCGCGAAAGAGTATCAAGCTCGGTAACCACCAGCTTAGTCCGTCGACGACATTGTAGCAGAGTAATGTAGTTCTGACTTTGGAAACAGAATGGTTCGCGAGGCAATCGCGATTGCCGCAGAAATCAGAGAAGCTTCTTTTCCAACTACAGTTGACAGCTGTGCCGAAGTAACTCGGGAGACGCTGATTGGAGCTTCCTGCTCCTGATGCGAGCTAATGCCAACTGGTAACCGAAGCTCGAGAAAGTTTCGCCGCAAAAAAATGATCCCAGCACTGAGCAAGCAGCAAGCAACCTTTCAAGCAAGATTCAACAGATCAGATCGGGCAAACAAAATCACCGCGAGTCAACAAATTCAGGCAAACAAATTCACAAGTCAAGAACGCGAATCCACCGCGTCACTCCCAGCCATTCCGCCATGCCGCACCGCGGCAATGTCGACGATCTCGCCGCGCCGCTGCTTCCCAACGCGCCGTCCTCGCCGTCCGCATCACACGCGATTAGCGCGCTGACCGCGGGGCGAAACGCCGCGTCGCCGTCCGCGGAGCACATCACTGTTGCCGTCGTGCCGCCGCGCGCCGTCTACTCCACGCCCTTCGTGCAGGCCGGCGTCGTCGGCGGTATCGCGGGCGGCGTCGTCGGCGTCGCGGCCGTCGCAGGCGCGCCCGCTCCCCCTTCAGCGCTGATCGCCGCAGCCAGGGGCGATCATAGCGGCTCTGGCTTGGGGCTCGCGGCGTTGGCGGAACCGGCTGCAGGGGGAGGGGGAGGGGGAGAAATTGCGCAAGTCGTAGGGGTCTCAAGTGCGGATGCCGGCGGGGATGGCGGATCCGGCGCGGTCGTGGGGAGTGAAGCGGCGGGAGGCAGGGAGAGGGAGATTGGCGAGGGCGAGTCAGGAACGCCGAAAGGCCCTGTGCGAAAAAACCTCTGGCGAATTGCGGACGACGACAGCGACAGCGATGGCGAGCACGGCAACGTGGGCGACGCGACCCCAGCGAGGGCGGGGAAAGACGCGGATGAGCCGATTCCCGACGGAGGGCAGCATGCGGGTAGCAGCCGCGGCAGCAGCAGCCGGGGGCGCGCGAGGACGGAAGGGCGCGCCGTGCGGGACGCGGGTGGTGGGGGGGGGATGGGCGACGAGCAGAAGGACGCGGGCGGGGAGGGCAGTAGGCGGGCGACGGGCGAGGTGGGGGGAATGGGAGGGGTGGGGAGTTTGGGGGAGGTGGGGGAGAGCAACAGTGCGCGTGAGAGACGGTGGCAGGCGCTGCTGCGGTCGACATCTTCGTACCACTACGGCCGGCAGCACAGCACCGCACTCAGCACTGACTCACCGCACTCCACCGCTCTGGCTTTGGATGACACGAGGTTCCACAGCATGAGGGGGGAAAGCGAGTGGGGCGAGGGGGGCGCGGAAGGGGCGAGAGGGAGCGCGGGCGGGGAGGAGGCGAGAGGCGCAGTGGGCAGCATCATGGGCTGGTTGTTGGCTGTTTGGCATGGCATTGGTAAGACGGGATGAGACATGGCATGGTGTGGCGTGGGATGACATGGGATAGTGGTAGGGGGATTGGGGAGCATGGGCATGGATGGGGTGAGGGATCACAGGTGCAATGCTGTATGGGGTGGGTGCAAGGCAGCGTGGTGGCACGCAGCCATGGCGTTAACTCACATGTCAATGGCTTGATGTGATATGGCGTGGCGTGGCGTGGCGTGGGTGGTGTGTGACGTGGCACGATGTCGAGTTGGTGCCCACGCCATTCATCACTCCCTCTGTCTTTCACCTCTTCCCTCCCGCTACTTCCCCCTACCGCTCCTCCCTTCCCCTCCCACTATTCCGCCACCCTCCGTAATTTGCCTTAGCTTGCCTTTCCCCACCATCACCGCCCCCCCTCATCCCCCACCATCACCGCCCCCCCTCATCCCCCACCATCACCGCCCCCCCTCATCCCCCACCATCACCGCCCCCCCTCATCCCCCACCATCACCGCCCCCCCTCATCCCCCACCATCACCGCCCCCCCTCATCCCCCACCATCACCGCCCCCCCTCATCCCCCACCATCACCGCCCCCCCTCATCCCCCACCATCACCGCCCCCCCTCATCCCCCACCATCACCGCCCCCCCTCATCCCCCACCATCTGCTTCATGCTCAGCAGAACCTCACCACACGTACGCTGCTGCCACCAAACAACGCCCTCCTCCCTCCTCCTTCCCCTCCCCCTACCCTCCTTCCCACCCCTCCAGCCACCATATTCCACCTCTTCCTCGCATCTCTCCTCCGCCTGCCCGCCTCCACCGCGGCTGTCCTCACGCGCCAGCTGGACGACGCGAGGGCGAACCCCAAGCTGGTGCTGCTGGCGCTCAAGGGCGGCGGGGCGGCGGCGCTCACGGCGTCGCTGTGTGTAATCGACTTGGACGACCGCCTGCCGTCGCTCGCCTCCATGGGCGTGTGGGCTGTTGTCACCGTCGACCTCGTCTTTGAAGCCAACATCGGCCTCTCGCTCGGGTGAGACTGCTGCTGGGATGAGACAATTTGTGAGTCGACTCAGAAATCGCCTCCATCGGCCTCACTCACCAAGGTTGACGGTTGAGATAACAGGGGCTGATTTTCTTTGCCTCATACATCTCCGTGCCATGCCAACCCCCTCCTGCCCACCCCGTGTCACCCGTGCCGTCCCCACTTCCCCTCTCTCTTCTCTCGTGTGGCAGCAAGGGTGTGAACCGAGTGGTGGGCACGCTGCTGGCGGGGGCAGCAGCGCTGGCGGTGACGAACATGGTGTCGCTCATGGGGGGGCTGCACGTGGCCGTGCTGCTGCTGCTCGTCTTCCTCAGTGCTGCCCTCCCCATCTACTACCGCAACCGCCCGCCCTTCAAAGACAGTTGCTTGCTGTGGGGGTTGGATTGTATGGGGATTGGGAGGGGTGGGAATGGGTGGGAAGGGGTGGGAAGGGGGGGGCCGGCAGGCTGGTCGGGAAGGAAGGGCCAGGCGGATTGAGCCCACAGCCGGTGCTTTAGGCACTGCTTTCTGCCCTTCCGGACCACCCAGGCCAGGCAGTAACCCTGCGCTGTATACTGGCGTCTCTGTTGCTCATCCTGTGTGCCCTCCACACCTTCTCTTTCACAAGCATGCCGATGCAACGGCTGTGGAGCTCTGCTCGTGAGTGCATGTCTCTCCACTCCCCTCCCCCACATGCACACACGCAGCTCACCTTCCACTTCCCTACACTTCCACCTCCACGCATACTCACATTGTACTCCTCCCTCCCACCCTTTCCACCCCTTCCACCCCTCCCACCCTTTCCACCCCTTCCACCCCTCCCACCCTTTCCACCCCTTCCACCCCTCCCACCCTTTCCACCCCTTCCACCCCTCCCACCCTTTCCACCCCTTCCACCCCTTCCACCTGTACCCACCATCCCCTCTCCTCCACCCCCCCTCACAGGTGGACGTACGCCATGACCATAATGATGCTCACCTTCCACATCCTGCTGCTCTCCACCTACCGCAACCCCGAGAAGCTGCTCCTGCCCCTGGCGCGCTTCTCCATGATCGTGCTGGGCTTCTTCATCGCGGCGCTCATCAACCTCGCCCTCTTCCCCGCCTATGCCGGGGACACCCTGCACGCGCTGCTCTCCAAGAACTTCGACTCCGCTGCCACTCTGCTCTCCAGGTGCGCATGGGGAGTTTGTATTGAAAGCATGATGCTTGCGTGAGAGTTTAGCATGCACTCTAGATAAAGGTTACACTGCAGAAGGTTCTTACGTGCATCAAACATGGATGTAAACAGCTGGGGTTTATTACAAAGCATTCTGGCCGAAATCTGCTGGAATGGCCAAAGGGTTGAGGTCAAGATTCTTCTCTGTAGCGCCCTACACACAACACTGCTACAACACAGTACCGGGACTTGGAATCAAGAAAGTACGTAAGTGCATTAAAGATGCATATATAACTCGGCCAAATAGGCGACCAAGCAGCTCAAGGTGCTAGCGGTGGAGCACAATGCTCGTTGCAGGTGAGAAGGCAGTGACGACTGACTCATTCATTCATTCAACGACCTTGGTGAATGGAAAGGCTTGACTGCAGTTCATTACACGACGTAATGCATTCAAGTGATGGAGTAATATGTGTCTGGATTCAATGTGTTTGGTACCAAAAGGGGTCCTTGGTTCTCACATGATTTCAAAGCGGACCAGAATATGGTGAAGAGGTCACGTCACATGGTCAGAAGCTGGGAAGACAGTGCTGAACCCTGCCGCCCTGTGGTAGGAGCTCATGCTGAGCAACCACTTGTGGTGCAATGATGGTCGCCCCTCGGGCATGCGTGGTGATGCTAGAGCGTGAACGCGCACCTCTTCACCTCACTGCTTCCCAGGGCTGGGTCTCCAAGGCGTGCGGCTCAACTGTGGCAAAGGCCCGAGCCTTCAAAACTGGCACTTCTTCGTACTCTCACCGCTGCCATGGTGCGGTTGGCAGGTGTGTGGAGGAGTACGAGTGCGGCACGGTGTGGCGGCAAGTGCCCACGCTGTGGAGCATGCGCACAGGGGTGGCAGCTGGGGCGGGCACGCAGGGAGGCGTGGGGGACGGCAGTGGAGGGGACAAGCTGAGGGAGATGTACCATGCCATTGTCATGAGCGATGCTGAGGTCGACAAACACGTGAGTGATGCTTTCTCTGCCGCTTGCTGTGCTGCCTCCTGTGCCCCACACTGCATGCCATGCCGTGCTACATCCCAACCTTGCTCTCTGTCCCCTTCCTTTCCACTCCTCTCTCCTCATCCACGCCTCTCTTTCATTCACCCACGCCTCTCTTTCATTCACCCACGCCTCTCTCCTTCATTCACCCACTCCTCTCTCCTTCATTCACCCACTCCTCTCTCCTTCCTTCACCCACTCATCTCTCCTTCATTCACCCACTCCTCTCTCCTCCATTCACCCACGCCTCTCTTTCATTCACCCACGCCTCTCTCCTTCATTCACCCACTCCTCTCTCCTTCATTCACCCACTCCTCTCTCCTTCATTCACCCACTCCTCTCTCCTTCATTCACCCACTCCTCTCTCCTTCATTCACCCACTCCTCTCTCCTTTATTCACCCACTCCTCTCTCCTTCATTCACCCACTCCTCTCTCCTTCATTCACCCACTCCTCTCTCCTTGATTCACCCACTCCTCTCTCCTTGATTCACCCACTCCTCTCTCCTTGATTCACCCACTCCTCTCTCCTTCATTCACCCACTCCTCTCTCCTTCATTCACCCACTCCTCTCTCCTTCATTCACCCACGCCTCTCTCCTTCATTCACCCACTCCTCTCTCCTTCGTTCACCCACTCCTCTCTCCTTCGTTCACCCACTCCTCTCTCCTTCGTTCCACCCACTCCTCTCTCCTTCATTCACCCACTCCTCTCACCTTCATTCACCCACTCCTCTCTCCTTCATTCACCCACTCCTCTCTCCTTTATTCACCCACTCCTCTCTCCTTCGTTCACCCACTCCTCTCTCCTTCGTTCACCCACTCCTCTCTCCTTCGTTCACCCACTCCTCTCTCCTTCATTCACCCACTCCTCTCTCCTTCATTCACCCACTCCTCTCTCCTTCATTCACCCACTCCCCTCTCCTTCATTCACCCACTCCTCTCCCCTTCATTCACCCACTCCTCTCTCCTTCATTCACCCACTCCTCTCTCCTTCATTCACCCACTCCCCTCTCCTTCATTCACCCACTCCTCTCCCCTTCATTCACCCACTCCTCTCTCCTTCATTCACCCACTCCTCTCTCCTTCATCAGCTCCAGTATTATACGAGGCTGAAACTTGGACAGAAATTAGCTTCAGGTGTTTGCTTTTCAACGCTATATTGCTTGCTTTCATCAGAGGTGTATGCGCTACGTAGTGAACGAAAACGTAAGCTCGACGGAAAAAAATGTAGTTTCATTGATGCAAGGAAGAGGTGAGTACAACATTGCCTAAGAGACTCTTAAGGGGTTGGGACCATCCTGGGAACTCAGAGAAGGTTGAGTCCTATGGGAGAAAGGCTAGAAAAAGATGGAAAACGTCATAGCTAGGTCAGCAAAGCCAACCACACTTGGATGTTCAGAGTAGGCATGAGCAAAGGGCGAACTCGAACATGTTCGAGTTCGCCCACCCTCGAACATGTACTTTTGCCGAACCGAACAGTGTTCGGTTCGGCGAACTATTTAGCTGAAAATATATGTTCGACGTTTGCCCTAGGTGGCAAACGATTTTTTTCAGCAGGCGAACACGAACATGTTCGTGTTCGCCCAGGGGAAAATTCACTATAGTCACACATGTCAGAAAACAGATTTCAAGGTCCAGGATGATAGCAAAATGTGTGCAAGGTGTATATGTGTGCATGCAACGAACCCAATAGTACAACATAACATACTGTGAAGGGAAATGTCAAAGTCTAACAAATTCCTACACTGAGGCACCACTGCTACTACCAACAACAGCATCCTCTGCTGCAGCTGTGTCGTCAGCCTCCACACCCTCCTCCTCCTCCTCCTCGTCATCCTCCTCTGCCCCCTCGCCCTCAATGGCGAACTCTGGTGGTGCGACGCCTCTCGGTCGGCGGCCCTCGCCAATCCTCTGGCCAGGGTGTGAACTGTACCATGATATGAGAATCATGACAGCTCGCGTCCTCTGAGAGGCCAGGCGGTGCCGCTTCCAGGAAATGAGGTTGCGACCAAGGGAGAACACCCGCTCACTCGAAGCGGACGTGGCAGGGATGGCGAGATAATCCCGGGCCATGCGCCTCAGCGTCTGCATGTTGGTGGCACTGCGCCAGTACTCTAGCGCTGTCACGTCGCACCGCACCCTCTCGGACAAGTACCTGCTAACCTCGTCATCCTGCACCATCCCACCCGCCCCCGCCTCCTGGCTCGCCGACAGACGCGCCGCAAGTCGTCGGCGACTAGGAAGAAACTGCGCGTCATCGTCGTCCTCCTCCTCGTCTCCGTCCTCCTCCTCCGCAACGGGGGCAAGTGGGGTCGGCCGTGGAGCAAGCTCTGCAGCCCGGGCCTGGTACTCGGCCACGCGGTCGCGCACCAGCTTGATCACCTCGCCCGACGCTGGACGCGGCCTCACCCTCCTATCGGTCTCGGGATGCAGCTTCTCCCAGTGCGCGTCGTCGAACCACGCCGCCTTCATGGATGGGTCCAAGAAGATGGCGATCCAGTACTCGTTGCTGGTGATGTACGCGTACTTCTTCAAGTGGCTCAGCGCCGCCACGATCATCGGCTGCAGCGTCGGAGATGGCCCCTTGGCAAGGCGCGACTCCATGGCGTCGATCAGGCCGTTGTAGTACGGCACCACCATCGACACAATCGGGTACGCCGCCCCCTCTGCTGCCTTGGAGACCTTGGCGAAGGGGCTTAGGAATGTCTTCACCGCCTGCAGGGTCTCCCAGTCTGCGTCTGTCAGGCACAAACTCTCCACCTTCTTCTTGTCGGTCTTCGACAAGCCCTGTCGAGTAGAGGGAATGGTTTGAGGGGAGGTATGAGGGAAAGGAAACTGTGATTATGGAGGATTATGGCATCCGGCCGGCAACATACAAGCATGACCAACAATATTGTGTAGACGTGCTAACACACCACACCCACACAAAACACAAGTGTTACCTGTGTCTGGGCGAAGAAGACATGATGGGGTTCTGCAGAACACCCGCACGCTCGACCATGTCGTGGGTCGACCCCCAGCGCGTAGGACTGTCCTGCACCAGCTTCAACGCCGGCTTCGGCGTGGCGGGGTTGGCCTGCGAGTTCAAGGTCCGCTGTAGGCCCAAGAAAGACCCCGAGCGCTGTGGAGAGAAGCCAATCCACGACGCCATCTCTCTCAGTATCTTCAGCAACTTCCGTATGGAATCCACAGCCAGTGCTGCCTGCACTGCAAGGTTTATCACGTGTGCCAAGCACCTGCGCACGGAACAAAACATTAGGGAAAAAGATAAGGGGAAGTTGGAGGACACATGGTTAGAGCGAGCCACAAAACCAACAAAGGCAAACACACGCCCACAAAGGCAAACACACGCCCGCACTCCCGCACGCCCAACCCACGCACACTCCCACACTCACCGGAAGTGCATGCGCGAGCTGAAGAAGCACTGACCACCACCCTCCTCCGACATCCGCCTGAAGGCGGCAATGTTGCTAGAGGCGTTGTCTGTCGTGAAACCAAGACAACGCCCCTCCAACCCCCACTGCACAATCGTCTCCTCAACCACCTGCGCCATCTCCCTGCCCCCATGCCGCCCGAGCATCTCACGGAACTCAAGCACCATTGTGCGTAGCTGGAAGTTCTCGTCTATCCAGTGACCTGTCACCACTAGCCATGCCTTGTTGTTGGGTGCCGTCCACATGTCGATGGTGATCGACACCTTGCACCCCAACTCCCCCTCCTTCGCCAGCATCTCCGCAATGGCGGACTGGAGAGCTGCTGTTGCATAAACCACAGTGTCGCGGGATACCGTCCACCGCGAGGGGATGAAGTTCTTCTGTGCGCAGTTGCAGTTTAGCAGGATCAATAGCTCCCGAAACTGGAGGAGGGTAGAGTAGAGACAACTGTGAATGGTGGATATCCGAATGGTGGACATGTGAATGGTGGATATGTGAATGGTGGACATGTGAATGGTGGACATGTGAATGATGGACATGTGAATGGTGGACATGTGAATGGTGGACATGTGAGTGGTGGACATGTGAGTGAATGGTGGACATGTGAATGGTGGACATGTGAATGGTGGATTACAATAGAAGTATGAAATAGTCAACCACATACTGCCAAAACACCAGGCATGGGACACTCACGGCCTCGGACTCGACGATGCGGAAGGGGAGGTCGCAGGTGACCACCAGCTTGGCGATCGCCTGCCGTAGCTCCTCCGTGGACAGCTTGGTTGTCATGAACCGCTCCATCCCGCCTGACCCCTCAGCTCCACCGGACGCCGTCCCTTTCTTCTTTGCGAGATGCGGCCAAGACTTGGCATGCGGCCACCCATCGACGTAGCCATCCGGCACACCCTTGTAGCCCCCACGAGAAAACGTCTCCCCAGGCAAGTGAACGGACGGAGTGTGGTAACGGTGATGCCACACGTGCATGTGCGCTGTGTGGTAGCTCTCGAAGTGCCGCTCGCCGGGTGTTGTTGTGGATTGCTTCCACGAAATCCTGTCAGTGCAAATCTTGCACTGACGCTTCTCGTCTGCCACTTTAGGCCCAAACATCTGTACTTGCCACCCCGGTTTTTTATTACCCTTGCCAGTCCCCTTACTACTCTCGGACCCTCCGTCCTCGTCTAGGAACTCCGGAGCGACCACACCCTCGCCCAAGGGCTTCCCAGTGAATGTGCAGGGATATGCTCGCTCCCTCAACTTGCTCACCCTCTTCCTCCGCTTCGGCATCCTAATGGATGCCCGCTTTCTCCCCACCTTAACCCCCACGCTCCCTCCTCCTTCAGCCACATGCTGTGAGGCCGCCTCTGTCGACGCCCCTTCACCACCCTCTCCCACCCCCTCCTCCACCTCCTCTGGCTCCAACCCATCCATCTCATGGTCCTCCTCATCATCCCCCCCTTTCCCACCGCCATGCGTCTCGGGATCCCACCCGGCCTCACTGTCATCCCCGCTCCCCTCATCGTCCTCATCCTCC